CGTTCACATACACACAATCGCCTGACGCTGGCCTCTGGCCTGCACACTTGTTCACATGCGCACAATGGAGGAGGTTTACAGCTGTGCACAGTCCTGACTATCAAAAGATACAGAACATACACCTCAGAGCACCAAAAAGTCTCAGCAATGTCCACAATGCAGCTCTCAGCTTGACCGATAGCATAAGAGGAAGTCACAGCCAGACATACCCAAAGGTACTCTCCAAAGGCCCAGTCCAGCAACCAGGCATGACCAAAAAGATGGCGAGGAGTTCCTCACATGGAATGCAGGCACACCCTCCACATGGCCTCCTCACTATGTGTTCACTGTCTTCATTGGTAGCTCCCTGTACGGGATTGGTTAGAGTTCATCCTATCACATGCCTTGGTCATAAGGAGGTGTTGCCTTTTATAATCGTACCCAGATCTCTAGGGATGCCTGAAACTATAGGTAGCCACCGACTAGTGACTGGGTCTGCCCTACACGTAAGCATGGTTGGCTTAGTTTATAACTTACGCAGAGAGAGATCAGCAACTAATAAGAAAATGAGCAATAGTAGTGTAAAAAGAAGTGGTTTTTGACTTATTTTTAGTTGTGTGTATGTGTGTGCACCTGGGTGTAGGTATGTGCACATGCGTGCAGGTGCCTTTCCAGAAGAAGGTGTCAGTTCTCTCAGAGCAGGGGTTACAGGCAGTTGTGGGTTCTGGAAACCAAACTCAAGACTTCTGCAAGAGCAGTGTGTGTTCCTAACTGCCAAGCCATCTCTCCAGCCCCCAAAACTTACTTTTTAAATGAATTGTTTAGAATAGCAAGCAGGAGGTAAAGCCCACCCTCAGTGACTTAGCAAGATCCAGCGCATTAGACCCCCAAACAACAAACAAAAAATTCTAGCAATTTCTATTGACAATCAATACCGCAAGCAACTGAGTCTGTGCAGAAAGGGTGGCCACTGTGCCAGGATTCTGAGGGTCCCTTGCAGAAACTTTTCCAGCAGCCAGCAGGGCCGTGTTCAGGATCCAAGCCCTGAACCTGGACAAGGAGGGTGGGCAGGAGCCAACTGGGGAGCTCCAGAGAAGAAAAAGTCATCTATGGAGGAAGGGAGAAGTCATAAGATAGCCTTTAAAGCTAAGTATAGTGATACATACCTATAATCTCAGTACTTGGGAGGCAGAGACAGGCGGATTGCACATCCAAGGCTAGCCACAACAGGAACCTGCCTGAATTAAGAACAGCAGGAAGCTGTGGTTGAGGTGTCTAGTTTTCTATTGTAAAATAGGTTTGTTTATTAGCTTCAAGAGAGGAAATATTCTGAAATAAAAACAGCTCACTTCTGTGTGAGTTCCTGTGGCTGCCTACACATGCTACCTCACAGTACAGTCAGAGGGAGCAAGTGTGGGTTCTAGAAGGAAAGGGTGAACTCAGGACGGGATGGGGACAGATGAGGAAGTCCCTGAGAGACCCCCAGGGCTGCTGGTGGGGAGCAGAACCCACCTCCACTTCAGCCAAGTGTCTCCAATGCTACTTCACTCACGCAGGAAGAAAAACGCGGCTTTGAAAGAGAGCATGGGATAAGGGCACCAGCTGCCAATCCTGATAACCTGAACTCCACCCCTGGAACCTACATGGTGGAAGAACCCACCAACTCCTGCAAACAAGC